AATAATATTCTCGGCAAGAAACCTGGGATCGATGCTTCGGTGCGAGAAGTACTACAAGAAACAAATCGATCATTTATTTGTGGCATGTGTATTGGACAACTGAAGGAAACGCAGAGCGGAATATGTATACAAACCTTCATTCTCGTGTTCAATCAATTGAGCTGCAGAAGTAACTGTTGAAGGTAAAACAAATAACTGAGTAGGTTGACCATGCGTGATTGTTGATCTCTTAATTCCTTCATGCCAACCAGATTCTCCATGTGGGAAAAGTAATGGATACTGCAGAGGATCATAGCAACCGTAATAATAATGAACTCTATGTGGATCATCGGAATGATCATATATAATAATATCACGAATGCGAGCATTAGTATTTTCATTATCTTCAATCCATACAGTAGCTACTTGAGATACTGAAAGAGTATTGAAAACTCTTTGATCAAGTCCTGGATCACATTTTATTTGTATTCGATGGTCATCTAAATTAGTCATATTACTTAAAGACCTAACTAATGTTTAAGACTAGTCTACGTGACACCATTCATGTCATAAAATTATAGATTCAATTAAACACAAGAATTTATGACTCATTTATTAGGACCCATCACATGCTTAAACTGGTGTTCAAGCATAATTATTAGATATCAATATTCTATATTTTAAAACTTCAATAGCTAAAGTATTTAATATAATATGAATGGCAGAACACGAAAACTTACAATTTTATTAAATGCACTCACGATAAATGTTCCGTAAAATTTCATGAGCGTACGGAATCATTGGCAAGTAATAGATATGATGAGAAGAGTTATCGTTCCACGGGGATAAATTTCAATTCAAGTTTACTAATTTTTTATGAATTCGAATTATATAACAAAAAATTGATTTTGATTTGATTTTATGTTAAATTATCTAAGAAAGCAATAAAAAAATATTTTTGTATCAAATTGTAGATGATTGTACTGACTTTAGAGTCCGCTTATTGCTATCTATTTCAACTTAGATTTGTAATCTAACTCAATTAATATGTTCTGACAACCGATAAAGTTATGATATATAATTTTCTTTTTTAAAACAAATTAAATATATCTTAACCATGACCCGAATATATTCCTAATTCGAACTCGAATGACGATAATGTGTTAAATTTTAGATTATTTATATGATTGCATACGTGATAAATATTATTTATAACATCTATTACATATATGTTAATTTTGTCTCATTCTAAACTTATCGGGACTCTTCCAACACTACAACAAGCAATTAACTATCTAATTAGCGATCAAGCAATTAAATAATGTAATGAGTATGCAAAATTGATCAAAAAATACAAACTACTAATTGTGAATTAAAATAAATAAACAATAGTGTTCACCTTCATCCAATACAAAAAAAGATCTAGTCTAGCATGATTTTAAATAAATTACAAAAAGAATAACAGAAAAATATCATCCGGATCATGAAATAATGCAAAAGATGTTTATCTTCAAGTCCAATGTTTAAATCTTCAATTTCTTGATGTAATTAACCTTCAATTCTTTGCTAAGGTTTGATCTTCTTTCTCAAAAGTGGTGAATTGACATCTTGTTTTTGATGAATTTTATAATATTATTGTGTATTTAGAGGTTAAAGAGAGTCCACTTAGTGTTTATTAGAAGTCCTGTATTTATAAGGAACGAATTTAGATCCAAAAATCATCACAAAGTTTTTAACAATAAGAATTTGAATAAAAAGAAGAAATTAACTCCTAGTAGAGAATTTGCCCATGGCGCGTGCACGTGTAAGCATGCTGAATTGTTCTCGGGGTCATGAAATTGCTATCTCGAGTGCACGCCTGTTTGTGTCGTTTCGTATATGAGCAATTTTTGATATTTTGGTCATAATGTTTTCTCTCGATATCCGATTGAAGTGATTAAATATGCGTTGGAACGATAATTCAAGGGGATAGTATTCTTTTAGAAATAGTAATTTTCCAATTTGAACATTTGCTACCCGAAAAATTAGTCTCAATACGAAACTGAAAATTCGAAGCACAACTTTTTCGATTGGAAATTGAATTGTGAAAATACCTTAACTATATTTCACACATTTGACCTCCAATTGATCCCCTGTGATCTTCAATCATTATTTTATGGTCCGAATCAGCTATTGAATGTTTACACTTTTATCTCCGAACTTTGAATTTCTTTCATTTTCGGCTTTTTTCGTTCATTTCTATCAATGTGTCTCGAGTTTTACCTAACAAATAAAATTTACATCTAATTAAGCCACAAGTCATCAAAATTAATTATAATTGATTTTATTTAATAGTTTAGATAAGTGTACAAAATACAAATAGAAAATATGAATATCCAAAAATGTAAAAAGTACAAACCCACTCTTTATTTTATAAAATTAAGATAAGACGTTCAAAATTTAACTTTTTTTTTAAAAAAAATGAAGATTTCAATTTCGTAGTCACTTGTAACAACTAAACTAAACAGGATTAACCCAAATGTACAGAAGAAGTTTTCACCCTCTCACATGTGTGGGGCCCACCAGAATAAAAAATGAAAAAAAAAAAAAACCCAACCCCTTGTATTGTGAGTATTTGTGAAATCACTCATCCCTTCCTTTGTGTAAGTGTAGCAAAGTTCAACTAAACATGATGTGGTTACTTGTCAAAACCTTGTTTTAAATGGCACAAGACTCGAGTGAACGAATGATCAAACAGATCTATAGAGTATTTTAACTTCTCCAATAATGGCGTTGAAAATGTAATTAATCATTAGATAAAAGCACCGACAGCATTGAAATGGCAAGAAATGGTTGAAAACCCGACGTGTATACTCTCCACAAAGTGCACTATATACATAATATTTTACATCTCCATTACATGATAAAGATTTCAGATCTATCAGATATTGAACCATTTTGAAAGTTTCATTTAACCTTTGGACAATCTACTTCACACCCACCAGCCCATATCCTTTCATTTCAAGAACTTTCCAATTGCTTACTGTATTTAAGCAAACTGCATTGTAAGTTATAGGTGTGTTCACCATTTCTTGGAAACTAACCATAAGTCAAGAATTTCATTATAAAGGGCCTACTTTTGCATCAAGTTAACTGGGATCGATCTACCTGGGGAATAAGGTATGCTTTTTTATTTCTAGACATTACTAAAATCCTTTTGACATTGCCAAGAATTCATGTGTGTGCCTTAACTGTGCAATATAGGTTAAAAGAAGTGCAGATCTGCTTTGGTTTTTTATTGTTTCCTCTGTTTTTCAGGCATTAATTATTACCTTTTTCATTTTAATCATTTATTTCATACGGGTCGATGGGATTTGGAATTGTTAAAAACTTGTGATCTGGTTCTTGTTTGGAAGTTTTCTTTGTCAAATTGAAGTGATGTTTCTTGTAATTGAGTTAATAATTTGGTTACAACGGGAATATTAGTATTTTCTTGGAAATGCATGTTGAATCATACGCAACTGTTGAACTAGCTAGGAAATGTGGCTATGATAATATCATCAGTCTGTGGCATTCTTTATCATTTTCTTGTAATTACCTAAAACAATTAGTTTACCTCGGCAAGATTTGTCACTTGAGTTTGAGACAGCAAGATTTGTTTTCCCTTTGATCCAAGATTGAAATCATTTTTCTCTCCTGTTTTTGTTTTTTCCTCTGATTTTACTGAAGGTGATTTGATCTGAGTTTATTCCTTTACTAATTTTAAGATCGCTGGTTACTTAACAGTATAGTGACAACTGTATTTTCAATAAGCCTTGTTATTCTTAGGCTAATTTCTCAGAGAGAAATGAGATGTATAGTTACTCTAGCGAATTACTTTTGAATTTCGAATTTCTCATACAGAATTGTTGTCGACCTTTTTATCTCTTTATTTGATAGAAGTTGAACATTTGGAATTTCAAGCTTCCGAATTCAACCTCGTATACAAGATAAGATTTAAGGAAAACCATCATGGTTAAGCAATCACCACGTAGGAACCAGAGAAATAAGGGATTTAAGGTGAAGCATGTTCTCCAATTATGTGTAGTACTTGGAATTTGCATCTGGCTGCTTTATCAAGTGCAGAACTCCCGTAGCAAGAAGGCGTCATATGAAGAAGCGACGAGAATTTCCGAGAAGGTAAAGGATGGAAACGATATCATCAAGTTAGGGAGAAAGGATCTCCAACCTCAGAATGAAGAAACAGATATTGAAGACGACAAACAGAAAGAAAAGCAACAAGAGGAAAGGACACACTTGGATGATGAAAACAAGCCAGATGATCAAGGGCAAAATCAAGAAAAAATAGAAGAGGAAGGTGAGAATAGAGACACTTTTGTGGATGGAGAAAAGAAGCCAGAGGAGGAAACCGAGCAAGTAAAAGAAGATTTGGACGGGGAGAAGGAAAATAACGAGGCTGAAGATGGCAACAGGAAAGACACTGAAGAGAAGGACACTAGGGAAGAAGGAAGTGAAAGAAGCAGTGAAGAACAAGTTGAAGAGAGAAGTGAAAAAGAAAAAGAAGATGGAGAGAAGGAGAGTGGTGAAGAGGATACGAAAGAAGAGAAGGGTAAGAATAATGAAAATGAAGAGGTGAATAATGAAGAAAAGGGAAATCGGGAGAAAGAGGATGCAGAAACCGATGTTAAAGAAGAGAGTAGTGGAAAGATAGAAAATGAAGAGATAAAGGAAGAGAGGGAGAGCAGAGAGAAGAGAGAGGAAGAAATAGAGGAATCGAATGAGAGAAAGGGGGAGAAAGCAAGTGAAGAAACACAGAATGGGACTGAAGATAAGGGATTTATACAAGACGAGAAGAATAAAATTGAAGATAAAGGAACAGAAGAGAGAAATGGAGGGGACAATGGACAAGGTAGTAAAGGCATGGAAGGAAACAACAAAGCGGAGGAGTTAAAAGAAGGTGGAACTGAAAAATTAGATTCGTCTGAGGGTGAGACTCATGAGAGAACTGACGAGACTAATGAGGTGAAAGAGGAGAATTCAAAGGGAGAAAACGTCTCTGGTGATGAGGTTCAGAATTCTCAAAATGTAACCAAAACCAAGAATGTTAGTAATGTTAATTTGAGTGGGGAGGAGAAATCCAAAAACACGGAACAAAATGAGTTACAGGAAAATAAGAACAATAATTCTGAGGCAACCATTGGAAATGAGAATGAAGTGGGATCAAATGACCAAGATACTGGGAAAACCGAGAACGATAATTCTTCTAATGTGGTGGCCACTGAAGGCACGAGTGATGAACACGTAGAGTCGGGGCATAACCCTAATTCTTCAGCAGGAACATCTGAAGTTAAGGAACGAGGTCAAGTTAATGATAACTCTACCCCTGATTCCATTCGAAACGAAAGTGAAACTCCGCAGAACGTTATTCCTCACGAAGATGGGATACAGACTGTTCTGAACGAGCAAACTGTGAAAAGTGATACTGAGAATGAGAAATCAGATTCAGATTCAACTCAAACCTCAACAACTGAGAAAGTGAACTTGGCGAATGGAAATTCAAAAGGTTCTTCTGACAACACAGAATTTATTGTATCTGATGGGCAAAGTGGAGATACGAAGACAGCTGAAGGCACGGAGAATAATTCTGAAACTTTAGCTGGGAGTGAGGGTAATAATAACTCAGGCGAACAACAGAAGGCTGATAATAATAAGGGTAGTGATGGTACAGATTCAGGCCAAAATAAATCTGAAGATTCCTCGGATACTTCAGGCTCATCAAATGAGGAGGCATCTCCAGGCTCAACTGAAAATGCTGATTCTGGTGCGCAAGATGAAAAAGATTCCTCCAGCTCTTCACTTCCTCAAGAAGAGAAAGAAGCTCGCACCGACCTGGGAACTCTTCCAGACTCTGGAACCGAAGTTAACAGCCATGATGCAGTTGCCAAGTGACATTTATAATATTTTCTCAGTCGATGATTTGTAATCACGGAGAATTTTGCTTTATATTCTTTTTTTTTTTTTTGCTTTC